ATACGCACAAAGACTATTTTCAAGATGCTAACGAGGCAGAGAACATCCACTTCATCTTTTTTTTGAGCAGGCATGAGGAAAAGAAGCTAAATCATTTACGACTGTTTTACCAGTACAGACGCTGGCAATTTAGATTTGTTCTGGCTGGTATAAACACTGGGAGAAGCTCTGATGTCTCACATCACACAGTATCATCTGCTCGTCCATACGGTAGCTAATTGAGGTAAGGGCTACATCTCTGATTTTACTCCCTATTTCCAGACTTCTGATGGGAAACCCAGGTAGAGCTCCATAGATTTCCACTCTGTCAGAGGGAAGCTCATGGAATACCCACTTTGGAGATGTGCAGATATACCCGTCCTAATTTAAAACAATGAGAACTCCCCTGCTTTATGATAGGAAGTATTTGAAGTAGAACTGTCTCCCTTCTAAAACTACTGCTACAGCTTTCTCTTTAGGTGATAATATGCTACATTTGGAAAACAATTCATCAATATTTAGTCTTTTAAGGTTAAGTAGCTTCTGAACAGAGCATCAGCACATGTAACCCTCTGCCACATCACTGCCGAGTTAGAACTGCCTTAGATTTCTTTATTTGCAAGGTGTTTTTCTCTGGTCTTATTCTCTGTTTCAGGAATATACCAGCATTTCTCCTGTGACAGGAGAAAAAAACTGAGATGTGGTTCCTGGGGTCAGTTTGTGCCCCATGGTCCCTGCTCTCCCCAAGGGACAGCATCCAAGCACCAGCTCCAGCACCCAAATTCAAGGCCATTAGCACCCCAGGCACCACCTAAACTGCAGGATGGACATGCGGTAGTTCTGGCTGCTGTTAGCTGGAAGGTGATAGCCCCCAGCACACTGGGCAATGCAGGACCACAGAGTGGTATCACACATTGCACCTTACCAGAAGGTTACAAACAAACACAGAAAGCAGGATTTTGGTTCTGTAAGGGGCTGCATACAAGAGATTTTCACCTTTTAAATTGTGCTACAGGTGCAACCTGACAGTCCCCAACACTTATTATTGAGCCATATCCATCTACATAACCTAAAATCCTTCAAACTTGATGCTGTTATTCAAGTACACAGTACCTGCTTGGTTCCAAGTAACCCAATATTCAACTTTTCTAGTACTTCAAGCATAACAGCATCCCACAGCTACAGCATTTATTAAACCTGCTGGGTACCATCCCTTAAGATACAATATTTATTAAATCCTCCAAGTACCATCCTGAAGATACAGCATTTATTAAGCCCTCTGGGCACATGAGAGGGGGTACGTAGGTAGGGTTTGGGAATGCAGAGGAAGGACCCCAACATGTGTATCCAAATACTATGAAAACATTCCACAACACCTTGCATTGCAGATATGTTGATAACCAGCACTCAGAGCAAAGGCTTCTCAGCTCCACAGGGGTAATACACTGGTTAAGATTTAGCATGGCCTACAAACAGCAATTACAGCTTGCTAGATATACCACATAAATGCAAGTAACAAGGAGTGAATTATCAGTCCATACCAAAGTGATTCAAACATAAATTTAAGTCTTGTCTCCCTTACCTTCACTAACACGTAAAACAGGAGCAGGCTGGAGCCCAGTATAGATTTGAATTCAAATCTGGTTCTTTTCGACTTTCTCCAAACTGACTTACAAGCAGGAAGAGCACACACATGGCAGAGAATACATTACTAATAATAATTCTTAAAATAAATACCAGGATATTAGATCTTCACCTGCATATAAAAGTGATGCACTGTGCCTGTCTTTTTGCAAGCTCATGCTCTGAAATTATGCTCCTGGTTGAATTAGAAGCAAAAGCTTTCATCAGAAGCATCTGCAATTTCATACCTTACTTCCCAAAGCCGTCCTTTCCTAGCCTGTCACATTAGGAAATAACACTTTGCTGGGGGAAGGAACACAAAATCATCCCCATGACTTCTCTGCTCCTTGAAATAACAAACTGTGGTCTTCAGCTGCTTAAAATCTCCAAGTCATAACTAATGAACAAGTCAAATGATGGATAACCTACACAGCCAATACCTTCCAAATGCCAGTTAGAAAGTTAAGGTACTTTTAAAACTGAGCATGTCTGCTACATTCATTAGCATTAAAGTTATCCTTGGTCTTTGGCATACATTCCACTCAGTAGGATTTAGTCCCATGATGGTTCAACCCCACGAAGCTGCACTTCCTAGCTCCACACAAATCCATGTGCAGCACTCGGAAGCTTCAAGAGCTTTCCAGCTCCCTCTGGAACCAGCTTATGAGAAGCCTCACAATGTAAAAGTGACAGCGGCATTCTAAAACATTCATGTGGACCAGGCAAGTTGCAGCTTTTGATTAAATCCTAACAGTGTCCTTGGTTTAATTAGGTTTTCCATTTTAGCTCATTCTGCACCCATGGAATTTCTGACTGCCTGTACATGTTTTACTATTCTAATCAGGACCAAAAATAGTTCAGATTGTCTCTGGAACACCCCTTATATTTGAGAGGTGGAAGGCTGAGCATCAAGAACTCATACTATTTGCATACCATTTGTGTGTTAGAGAGTCAATTTCTCTGGCAGAAGGGCTGTATATTGAAGTCTATGGCCTCAAGACTTATTTTCCCATTATAAATGCAAAGCACAACTGCAATAATTCCACCACACACCATGAAGAAATCGATTTAGCAATCACAACATAAATTAAGCAGTGTTTCTGATTCCATAAACTTGTGCCTATGTAGATCAGAACAAGTATTAGTGAAGGTCAGTGACCCATACCCAAGTATTTGCTTTGATGAAGTTCTGAGGAATTTACAATCAGAGCACACTTCAAATTATTTGACCTGTAAATTAACCCTTTACACAGTTTTAAAGCATTTTTAGTGAATTGCCAGGAGCTTTTCTAGTTGTGATTCAATGTTTTAAACACATGTTGATGGAATTGCACATTAATCAAACCACAGAGTTGGTAACAAACTCCTCAGGAATAAGGAGCTCCCAGTTGAACAAAGTCTAGTGTCACTAGAGGATGATTTCAGGTGATGTTTTATTATTAAAAAGGTATTACAGATAAACTATTTTCTGAAATAAACTGTTGTTTTCCTCTCTGATCTCAATTCCACTGACCTACCTGAAAGCTTTGTTCAGGGCTTCCAGATTCATCTTGGCGTATGGTACCACACCGTACCAAGTTTGTGTAACAAGCTTTCTGTACAGTTATCTTTCAAATCTGTATTATAACTTGAAGCTATTTCAACTGCATCCTCTGAACATTAGAAACTTCAATGCTAAATTCTGTGCAAATCTGAACAAATACATTTCTACCTTAGACCTTTTCACCTCCAGCAAGATCAAGTAACTGGTACAATCACATCATGCTTTTTTGGAGGAAGATCGAATGAATTAATGTCTTTCAAATATAATAGTTCTACAGTTTTTCTTCAAGCAGATCATTTGAGTAATGAATTTAATTCCACAGAGTAACTTCTTCAAAAAATCAAAACTGATATGTACTAGTGCAGAACGAGATCCTTCTGAATGCAAAAGCATGCAAAATACTTGATTATTTTCAATAAAGCAAAAGCGAGCTAAGACAATACAAGAATGTGTTTAACAGAGTTCCTGTGTACTACCCAAGTCTACACAACAATGAAACAACAGTGGAGGTGTGGAGGGGAGCTGCTTTTCCTTACTTCTACAGAACAGAGGATGGATACTTCAAGGAAAAAGTACACCTGAGACAGAACTCGGAACTAGAAGTCTCCAACTCCACCAAAACGATATTTGAGTCCTGGTAAGCAGCAAAAAGCATCTTCTTAATTGGCTTAAACTGCTTTATTGAACTAATGCACACAACTGTGGGTATTTGTAGATGGGATGTGACTGGGAGAAATGAGATTCTCCAACTAGAACAAAATCTTGAGGCTTAAATAGATCCAGTTGCAGCATGAATCCATCAAGGGCTTATCATTAGCCTGGCACTGACTAATGTGTCTGCCAGTATGCAAGTGTTGTAGGCAATGGCAGCTAAAAAAATAGCAGTGTCTCCTTTCCCTCGCCTCCCCCACCACCTCCCACTTCCAGGCATTTGAGCAATCATTTAACAAACCTATGATAATCAGGACTAATTAAATAGCTAAAATTGTTCCAGCATTCATTGTTTTCTTTCCATGAAAGTCACATTCCCAGATTTTTATAGCCTGATTTGCATGCCTCAGATGTGAAAATGTGGGCCTACCCACATCTGTGCAGCAAGCCACACAGTGAGCTCTGGTCCAGAAAGCCACCATGCCCGTGGGGACAGCCCACACTGGACATCAAGAATGGGGACCTGCTTGATCCACATCCACTGCAACAAAAGCCAACGTTGTCACCCTCAGCACTCAAAACAGTTGCTTCTCCACTCTCAAAGTCCAGGGGTTGAATGCTGAGGAGTGCGTTACTGTCCTGCATGAGTGCATGAGGAGTCCTGCCACCCCATCAAGCCAGGCATCAGGAATCCTCTCCAGCTGGACAAAGAATCCCATCCCTCACTATGGCCCTTGGTCCCTTTCTAATTACTCTGCACTTTGCAGGGGTTCAACATCAGAAAGCCAGGAGGGAAACAAGCCAGCATTAACTTTGCTGGTTCTCTCAGAACCACCTGTGGCTCCATTTTCCACTTTTTTAAGAAGCAAAAAGACTTTTTTCAGGTTTCACCTGCGGGGCCAGTGACCCAAACAAACCCAGTGACCCAAAGGAAGAGCCAGGACAAAGCATACCACAACATCTTTGGGGCAAACCGAGCATCTCCACCATGGCCAAATGCACAGTTTCCCTCCCAGAATGTCAGTATACTCAAACAAGTAGGAGCTTCTGCTTCAGTGTTTCTTCACTGGCGTTTTTAGTTTAATACAAATATACATGGATATGCCCTCGCTTGTTTTCTGTTTCCACAGCACAAAGAGCCTGAACACAGCACTGAACTAGAAACACAGGAGTTGTAGCTGCAGCAGCAGCGGGTGTACAGTACCTCTTGATGCGACCTCCCTCCGTCCACATACAGCCTTCTGCTCCTGTCCTCGACCATCCATCCCCTTGTGACCAGCGGGGAAACCCCAAGCAATACGAGAGATAACCAAAAGCTTCTTGATCTCATCATTTCACGTCTGTTGAAAACAAGAGAACAGTCATAAAACAATCATTGCACAACAAATCCCAGCTTGCTTTCAATAACATGGCACAAGCTTCAGCTGATGGTGCCCATTCTCACCCAGGCAGTGCCAATGGAGCTTTGCAGACTCCCAAAGTACATGCAGCAAAGCACTCATTTACATGCCTTGCGCTCATCAGCGCTTTGGCAATCTATTCCCACATTACTGCATCTTTGGGAAACATTTCAAAACTACCCTCCACAGGACACGTTGCTCCCAGTCTGTTGCCACAAAGCACCCACAAAACCAGAGCCCTGAGATTTCTGAATCTAACTACAGCATCCAAAAGGAAACCACATCAAAACATGGTACTGTGGTATTTGAGAAAGCCAAAGGGTGACTTTACCCCCTCTCCAGACCCCCCAGCAGCACAGGGTCACTCCTAGTGAGGACTCACACTTGTACCCCCAGCAGACCTTCAGGAAAGCCATTCACTTCTTTGACTAATGGAGAAACCATAGAAAATATCATTGTTCTCCTCATTCAGGGGATGCCACTGCTTTGAGCAGATGCAGCCACTGCCATTAGGCTACACTTGGGTTTGCAGGACCAGCCAGGGTCTGAGCTGACCCCCAAAAAACAGGAACAGCCATTTCCTCCCCGAGATGGTCACAGAACCCATGAAAACTTGTAAGATCAGAAACAAATCCTGTGCTGAAGAGTTTCTTCAACCAGGCTATAGGTGAGCCCTGCGTGGGGCTCTGATTTCCCCACTCATTTGCCGTTGACACAGAGACACGGCCAACCCCTCCCAGACCCATCATACTCAACAGCAGCACCATCTCCCTGGCAGTGCCCCAGAACAGCCCCACATCGGTGGGAGGCCAGCAAGAAAGTAGAGGTTGGAAATGGTGCGAGGCTGAACACTGGAACAGGCAACCCAAAGTTGCGAATGCCCATCCCTGGCAGTGTTCAAGGGCAGGTTGGACACAGGGGCTTGGAGCAACCTGCTCTAGTGGAAGATGTCCCTGCCCGTGGCAGGGGTTGGAGCTGGATGAGCTTTAAAGTCCCTTCCAACCCAAACCAGTCTGGGATTCTATGGTTTCTATAGTATGTAAGTGACAGGCTGCTGCTTGGTTTGAGTTATATACATTAGCAAGGCGAGTTACCTGCTAATGTCAAAATTAAACCTAGATTAATTAAGACCCCATAACACACCTTATCTTGACAGGACTCATTTTACAGTGTTTTCATGCCAGGTATGTGCTGCAGGTGCATCACTATTCATTCTGGAGCCATGACCACCAGCACTGACTTGTTCTCAGGTGTTTCATCTCCCTAAAGACACAGCATCAACATGAGCAAAGCCTTCACCACGCGCCCATGCAGCTCAGGCACTGCTTTTCGCCAGCACTCATGTAAACACCCTGAATTGAGAGCACTCAGGATGAAATCAAAATTTATTAGGCTTTCTAAATTCCAATTAGAAAGCTCAGTGTTGCTGGGGCTACAAATAAATGTTTAATAAACCAAAGTCACTATATCAATAAGTGACAAGTACATTGTTACGTTACGAATTGCTCTCGCGCAGCAAGGCTGTTCCTCACGGTTTTTATAGAGGTATTTTGTATGCTCAGTTGATACCATCACAGCAGACAACTCTTTCACTTTGCAGTTCTAGAGACCTCTGACTCGTATCCTGCTTGAAATGACAATCCTACAGCAAAACAAGGGACCAGCTAGTTTCGTGTGTATTTAGTAAATAACCAACTGCTTGCAAACATGATGGTGTTTGGATTAGGATGATTATAACAGCAATTAAACAAAGGGCAGCCTCTACTACTAGAAAACTCTGTCTGGTTTATAAATGGGATTTGTAGAACATCTTTCTCTAGTCAGTGTAGAAATTACTTATTTTTATTGCATGCTGACTGACAGTACACTAATTGCTCTCACTCCTAGTAAGAGGGGACACACTAATACACATTACATATCTGAACAGCCTAAACCAAGCAACAAATGTACACTATAAATATCGACTGAGGGTTAAGTCTGAAATCATACAGCATTTTCATGCTGCTTGGCATCCTAAACCACAGCTCAGCATTGCCTTACCCTGAGCTGAGAGGAAGGCTCCTTGCAGAACCTGGTCTGCAGCTGCATCATGCAATACAGCTACTGGATTGCAGTCTAAAGTTCCCTGGAGTCAAGAGAAAGATTCTCATTGATTGAATATATCTGGATCATCTCCGTCAACTCAGACAAGTTTTACTACCTATTCCCTCTCTTCACCTGAATGAGGGACAGATTTGGAGCCTGCACAGACAGCACTGCCCAGGTAAATTGTGCACATGGCAATGTGCCTAAAACAAGTAGCTCCACGCAAAAAATAAGTGAGCAATATTAGTGGCTGAAGACTAGAGGTCTCCCAAGAGCTGGGGTGGAGGGGGGACCTATCGTACACCTCCTGGTCTTACTGCGTGAGAGGAGTGACAGACTTTAATCTGCTCTGTAATGCAGAAATCAGGAATTGCAATGCAGATGCTGGGAAGTAAACAAAGCCAAGCATCACATCCATTTGTAACACATTTCCTTCAGTTTCGGGGGAGTGACTTCAGAAGCAGTTTTGGCTCTTGTATTACAGACAATACTATGCAAAATCTAAAAGTTCACCTAACGGTTGGGGTTTCTTCCTCTGAGCTAGAGCAGCATCACAGCACTCCTTGCAGCCAGCACTGCTTTACCTTCCGCAAGCAGTTTGCTATCTGACGAAGCTCAGGCACGATGGCTCCTGCACACAGTGCCCAGGCTGGCAGCACCCCGCTGCCAAAGACACAAGCACAAGGTTTAGGGTACAGGTTTTAAGCAAAAATGGTCACGTTGGAACAGAAAAAGGACTCATCACTCTGTCCATTTGAGTGGAGAGCACCACAAATTGTTTAAAGCTCTTCTATGATACACAAAAGGAGCTGCCAAGCAGCTAGTGTGCTGTAAAGATGCCACAACTTTTTCCTCCACAACACAGAAGCATTAACAATTCAGTTATGGTGACTGCCAAAACAATTACTTGGTTTGGTTTTGGGGCTACTTAAATTGCAGCTTATTTTTAAGCTTTGAGAAATTACTAGTTCACTTTAGCCTTTAAATATTTCCAACAAGTCTCACATTAGACAGAAAAATTGAACTTAATTACCTCAAGTTATGACTGTTGCTACAGCAAGAGGAAAGCTTTCAGACCAAACCCTTCACTCTATACAAACCAGCTGGACTAATGAAGCCAAATAATTTCCATCAGCTATCCACCGTATCCTAGATAAATTACTTAAAGTTCTGATGTATTAAGAACTCATTTGTACCAGCGGGAATGTTTAAGTACAAAGCAGACATTCCCTTTGAGCAAAAGCATATTTAAGCATTTTTCGTTTGATCTTTAAATTCTCCAAGACACTTCAACGCTCCTACAAGAAATGCAGAGAACACCAATCCAGCAGAGATGAAGGACTGCCGAGAAGCCCCGAAACCTCAAAGCCCTAATCTTTGCTCTCAAGGCTGCCTCCGTGACTCTTGCATGTTTCAATCACAGCTTTGCTCTCAGGTTATGCTTACAGAAGTCCCAACCATCCCTCCCGTTAGCACCACGGGAAAGCCGTCTATTTCCACGGTGCAGCAGCACGTGAGACCAGTCGGGAAGGAGCGCGGCACCTCGGATAAATTAAGTATCCGATAAATTAAC